AACCAACCGGCAGGGCGAATTCTACGACCTCCAACTCTATGAATTCCGGTCTAAAAACGCACACGCTAAATAAATGTGCGTGACATCGCGAAATGATGTCAATACGTGCAATATCATAAGTCATGCACACACGTCTAACCGTCCCGCGCGATGACGTCTTTACATGTGACATCATCTCGTCGTACAACTTGGAACATAACATGATCATCGCCAATTGAATACCTCCAAGGACAATATAATACAGGGACGTGGAAAAGAAATCCATATCCACACAGGATTTTCCTCCTTTTTAACGAATATATACGTGATCCCAAGAAACACTATGAACCCTTTGTGAAACCTCACAAGCTATGTGAGAACTCTGGAGATGCACAAAGGGTATAACAATATAGTTGTACAAAGGCCTAGCGAGACCTCTACTTCAATATGCCATGTGGTGAGTGGAGTGTGTGGTGGGGTGCAGTGGGTGGGAGGTGGGTGCATGTTGGGTGGGGGGAGTAGGTTATTTATGCTGTGAAGTTGGAATGAAGAGGCCAAGAGAAGCACTTCTCCCACCACCTCCTTGCCCGCTGACACTTAAAATGCCCTTCCATGGACCCTGACAAAGAATTGCTGAAAGACTTGACGTGAACGTGAAAAGGGAGCTCCTGGATGACAAAGTTTGACAACAACAAAAACAAAAAAACCCACTTAATAGCAACAAGAGCAGCGTCACTTGTGACACTAAATCGTGACGACAAAGGAATAAAAGCCAGACAAGCCGTACAACAAAAAAGAAAACACGGACCGGAAGGAAAACAGCGCCCACTCATCATGTACATGCGTCATTAATGCTGGTGCCAAAACTGGCATTTTTACTTTAAGAACTGCGTCTCTAATTTCTGCTATCATGCAAACACTCTTTGCGGGAAAAAAATGTCAAGAAAGATACGAATAAAAAGGCTTTTGAAATACTGAAATGATGGCATGAACAAAGATTGACAAATATTGTGGGTGAATATAAGGGGGCAGAAACTGGCATGAAAAAAAGTGTCTATCCATGCTGTTATGCCACTGCATTTACACTGTATCCACAGCCACCGTTGCCATCACCGGTCACACTGTGCACACTTTTAAAGAAGCTACTTCCTTCCCTGTGCTGGCACTTTGTGTGCCTCTAGCGTACCACACTTTGTGACGTTTACGATAGGTGGGCACTATTTCTGGAAACTTGGTACACAGTGATTGGTTGCTACCAACACTGCGAATACGTAATATATCAAGCGCTTGATCTGACATTTCCCCCCTCATTAAAGAACTTAATAAAATGGGATTCTTCCTTGACCTATTTCTTTTTCGTATAAAAAAACTCAAGTGTCAGTTTATGGATGTGCAATTAACACACCACGATCAACATTCCCACTCAATCACTTTAGATACTCAGGACTAGGCTCTAAAGAAAGCCGTCTCGGGTGTGGACCAATCAACTTCAAGGACAGTGCATATTATTATCATTATCAGAGTTGCTTCTTTTTGTTTGCTTTTTTGACTACTTGTGTTGTGGTTATTGCAAACATGATGCCTTGAATAAAGGTGTCAGTTTTGTACCAGTTTAAAAGGGTAAAAACCTACTACTATATTTTGCCACTGGTAAAAGAGATCTCATAGTGTAAATGCTTACCCCGAGCTCTCAATACTCTGATATTGCACTGTGTTTGAGTTGTACGCCTTCTGGTGTCATCTGGTCCAACATCAATGGGGACTAGGCTCTAAAGAAAGCCGTCTCGGGTGTGGACCAATCAACTTCAAGGACAGTGCATATTATTATCATTATCAGAGTTGCTTCTTTTTGTTTGCTTTTTTGACTACTTGTGTTGTGGTTATTGCAAACATGATGCCTTGAATAAAGGTGTCAGTTTTGTACCAGTTTAAAAGGGTAAAAACCTATTACTACACATTAGATACTGTCAGAACAAACATTAGTAGTGAGCAGCTACTAAGTCCGCCACGACACGAAAAGTGGTGAGGTGGCCAGTTGAATGCCCGGCCAAATCGGTCTCCTGCGCAGTAATATTGAGTACAAGTTTTATGGTGAGTCAATATCCGGGAAGCCAAGGCTCGCTTGTGACACAAGTTGCAACTGGCGATTATTGGCAGGAATCAAGCCTGGGTCACCGGGACCATGGCGAAGTCTGAGAAATGCAATAACAACAACACCACCACCAACTCTCGTACACTTACAAAACACAGGGCCATTCACACACCAACTTACACTCACATTCTAACTCACCACACACATTTTTTATATACACACTGTCATCCATAAAAAAAAACACACTCATCCAATCCTCACCAATTCACACATACGAATGGACTTGCTCAAACATCATCTCACATCCACACTAGCACTACTTTACATATGGTATTAACTCCACAAACTCAACGTAGCCTCTCAAGACTATTTGATTATCACATATACTCACTGACAAAAAGCTCACACATTCCCTACACTAAATAATTCACTACAAAAGGCAGCCTCTCACACTCATGTACTCTTACATACATCAACATTCTGTCTTACTGATATGCAGACTTAAGACAGAATGGACTCACACACATACCGATATGCTAAAAAGAGCGTTTCTCACACTCTCATCATCATTGAATCTCACACTGAAAAAACATCACCCATATCGCCTAATAAACCGTTGATCACTGGCACAACCACAACAGCTGCTAATCGCACTGATGGTCACATAACCACAGCGCTTGTGCCAGGCTAGGTGCACTTTGAGGCCACGTTAAATATCTCTGGCAGGTGACGGGACAAACCCATGTGTTAAGGGTTAACATATAATGATGACTGGCCACTGACACACTCTCAAACAATAATTTTGACTCGCACACTGACATGCATATTCACACCCACTAACACTCTCGGACTAGCGTTGTTAAGACATCATCAAAAATCCTAAAATAATATTTGGGCTCCATTATCAACTCCAAAATCATGGTAATCAATAATCGAATCCAGTGGAATGTTCGCACCGAATGCATCGATTGGCACATGCGAACGTTCAAACCGCTGGGCGCTCATCATATCTTGTGGTCTGCTTGAACACACGCGGACATTATGATCATCGTGATTAGCCAAGATAAATCCAGTGCTGGACGAAGACCTCCCGCAGCCATCGTCAATTTCCATGCTCTTACGATGTAACAATCCACCTGCCACTTGCACACGCAAAGATTTCATTGCTCCATCCGAGCGTAACAGCTCCTCTCTCACGCCTTCTCCTCCCCTTGGCTGCCACTGTCATTCATGCTCGACCACCGGTCATCATCACCCCCACGCACAATCATGAATAAGTAGGATAATCGTTAACCTGTGCGTGTTCTCTAATCCACGTGATCCTCTTTGAGCGGTTTCAATGTTACTGAAATGCTTCTTTGCGTTTTTTTTTTCAGTTTGTTCCATTTTCTTCGTTCAAACACTGCATGTGCTTCCGATCTATATATGTAACACCAGTTAGTAGATAGCGATTAAAACACTTTCTTATTCATGCACACTGTTATGGTGCTGCTCCTTACCAAGTTAAGTTTTCCAAAAGCCCTCAAAGCCGTTCTCGTCCACTAATCCATTTGATCATGAACCCGATTCGTCTACAATATCTGCCCAGGGTATATTGTGCTGTGTGTTCACAGTTGTGTCCCTTAGCCCTTAGACAGATATCTCCAATTATTTAGCTAACTTGTTGCACGTGACCTGTGTTGCTGATATTCTATCCAGGGAGGACTTTGCATCCCTCTGTATTGTGGGATATTTTGTCATGTGCAGCAAAATGATAAAACAAAACTTGTTTGTATCGATTTTTGCACGTGAATATCGATAACGATCACGAAACAATATTACCCACCCGACTAGGACTCACACTGAAACTGTTAACACTCCACAGAGCCACTGCCACTCACTCAAATCCACACACGAACATACTCTCATCATAAGCTGTCACACACTGCTACACACGTTGGCACTTTAACACACACACACTGACAAAACACACTCCGATTGACCCACTGACACTAATCCATACTCTCATACAGACCCCACTCACAATCTGGCACACGGGAACACCACACACACTTTACCACACATCAATTCTCACACTCAACAGAACACACGCAACTGTGATCAACAAAACTCCCAAATACACTCAGAAACAGAGACCACCCACTTAAAATATTCTCTCACACCTCGCACACGATCCATCACACACTCATACACCCCGACACATTTTCACATACACACTCACAATGACACACAGACATACTTTGGCACTTGCAATAGCACTCAAGATACACTCCCAGACACTAACACACAAACTCACTCCGCTCTTGACATTGACACACTCTCACACACTCAAAGTGTCACATACTGAAACGCAGAGTAAAACGCAGTGACACACTCACTCTACACATTCACACGGTACACATGCACTGCCTCTGAAACTTAACACCCATAGGAGTCATAGACTAACATTAAGGTTGACATTCACACACACACAGTCTGAGACAAACTCCCTCTGACCCTCACTCACTTTCATTCTGAACCTCGGTGTCTGACATTGTACAAATAGCCCGACACATACTGTTGGAGCAATTGTTTGCGAGCACTCATGAAGGCCGGTAACGGGCACACGAGAAGGGCGGGTGGTCAGCACCACGTACAGGGCTACCTTCATCTCGCTAGTGGCGATGTTTACACACAACACCACGTACTCATTTGAGGCCGAGTCAACCTAGGGGGTGGCCCAGAAGCACTTTATAAATAATCATTAGTGGCGTTGCCCGTTTGCCGGGCTCGCGTAACCGCTGCACCACCGCTCCCCACACTCAAACGCATTTGCTCACACGCATTTGCTCACACGCAGCACGCACACTGACTCTGACCCTTACTCACGAGAACCCCACTCTCCACCCCTTCACTCCGCCTCTCCACTCACCACCGTCTGTCTACTCACCTGTAGTAGTACACGTCGGTCTTGCCGGCCGACAGCCCCGACTTCCGGATAACCTCTTCTCGTTTCCAGCCGAGAGGCAGAGCCGGGCAGTCGCTCCGCCGCTTCTCCATGCCGGGCTTGCTCGCCCGACCCCGCCTTGACCTGACCTGACCTGACCCGACCCCGCCTTGACCTGACCCGAGCTGACCCCGCCCAACCCCCCGCACGCGTGACCGCTCTGCGCGCGCGCGCACTCTCCTCCCCCTCTTCTCGCACTCTCTCTCGCTCGTGTTTCCGGCCCCCCGAAAACCAACAGCCCCCCCCTACCCCACTGCTACCGCCCACAAACTCAACAGCCCCTGCCCACAACTCCAAAAGCCCCGCCCACAAACACGGAAGCCCCGCCTACAAACACGAAAGCCCCGCCTACAAACACGGAAGCCCCGCCCACAAACACGGAAGCCCCGCCTACAAACTAAAAAGTCCCGCCCACAACCCAACAGCCCCCCCCCCACCCCATTGCTACCGCCCACAAAACGACAAACCCCGCCCACAACCCAAAAAGCCCCGCCTACAAACCTAAAAGCCACGCCCACAATCACGGAAGCCCCTCCTACAAACACGGAAGCCCCGCCCACAAACCCAAAAGCCCCACCTACAAACACATAAGCCCCGCCCACAACCCAAAAGCCCCCGCCAACAGCCCCACAACTCAACAGCCCCGCCCACAAACCGACAAGCCCCGCCCACAAACCGACAAGCCCCGCCCACAAACCGACAAGCCCCGCCCACAAACCGACAAACCCTGCCTACAACTCAACAGCCCCTGCCCCCATTAGCGCCCCAACCAGCCCCCATTACACCCCCCCCCCCCCCCACTGTAACTATGGTCACGCCTCTTAAACACCCTACAACCAATCACAGCCGTTCAGCCCGGTCCCCCCTGGCCCACAAACCACGCCCACTTCCAGCCCCGACTCGCGCAATCGCCGTCGAGTGACGTCGCCACGTTTTTGAGTGACGTCATCGCGCATGACCCTGGGTCGTTTCACCCACCACGGGAACGCAACTCCCTCCGCGCGCCGTCAACTCCCCCCCCACCCCCCCCGCGGACTCGACCGCGTCACGCCACACGAGGTTCCGTTTCCGTGTTCCTCCGCACAGAATCGACGAAGTCCCACGAGGAGGGGTCCCACACCCCGACGGATGAGTCACGGCCGCGAGTTTTAAGACGCATTTTAATCCGTAATGTAGGTTTAGAAGGTCGCGTAAATGCGAAATGTGTCGTTAAACCCGCCACCGCCAATTGGTTAAAGGTTGTCACGTAAACAGAACGTGCCAATTCGTCACTATTACAGCAACGCCGGAGTGTTGGAGAGCAAATCCACAACATTATGTAATAACACAATACTACAACCCCCCAAAGACAAAGATCCCCCGTATAGCCTTAACAGACTGTTGGGGCAAGTGCTGTTAGCGAGCACCTATTGAGGCTGGAACGGCACACGAGGGGGGTGGGTGGCCAGCACCACGCCCGGCCGCCTTTGTCTCCCCAGTGGCGATGTTTTAACGCACCAGGCAATGATTTGAGGCTGAGTCGACCTAGGGGAGGCCCAGTACCGGTTCAGATGTTGGCCGTGAGCGGGAGTCGAACTCGGATCGCCGGGTTCGTAGTGCAGAGCGCTGACCACTACACTACCGCTCCCCACAACTACCCCCCCCCCCCCCACACACACAGACACCACGATCCGAAAGCTCTTCAAAGTAAGGGGCCGTCCATAAATGACGTCACGCGATTTTGGACGATTTTTGACCCCCCCCCCCCCATCGTCAGACGGCGTCACAAAAATTCAGACCCCCCCCCCCCCACCAAATATGACGTCACAAAGCTGTGCCCCCCCCCCACAAAAAACATGCTTCAAATCGCTTGAAACTATTGTCATTGTAATACGTATTTAATGTGGCGCTGCATTCTGATGTTGTAGGAGAAAACATTTAATAAAAAGTCCATTTAATTAAGTAGAACGTGCTGTCTATATTTATTTAAAGTTGCGCGTTTTGATGTGACGTCACATTTCTCAATTTACAGAATGATATACTATTGGGTGATCACATGAACAACATCTTCAGTGACGTTTTCAATGCATTTTAATGCCCTTGAAAATGACAAAACGGACAGAATTCCATTGAAAGTATTTTGTTGAACGAGACGCAATTTCCGCGGCGTTTTGCGGCCACTTTGTAGAGTTAAGGAGAACTATGAAGATTATCATCTTTGGATACTAGAACGCAACATTAATGTTTCGTCACTAGGGGGTGCGTTCAACTCAAGTAAAGATACGTTTATAATCAGTAAAGATACTTTACTTGATACAGCAATCGTGCTGTGACGGTTCCACCTGAAGACGGAAGCTTGTGTTGCCTCCGAAACGTCGTGATTTTTATTTTATTTTTATTAGTTTAATTTTTTTTTACCTACGTGACTTTACCGAAAAAACCTAAGAGTATGAATCCTTGCAGTCACGAAAGCTTCAAATCTATAATGTCTTTAATCATTGTTGAATCTGTACAAGATTGCATTTTCGCTTCAATAGCATTCTCATTCTTCTTCTTGGTTCTTTCGGTAAAGTCACGTAGAAGGGAAGTAATAAAATAATAAAAATAAAACATAATAATTGTATTATATTATTTTATTAAGTTTTATTTTTATTATTTTATTACTTCCCTTCTACGTGACTTTACCGAAAGAACCAAGAAGATGGATCCCTGCAGTCACGAAAGCTTTAAATCGAAATTTAGCATTCTCATTCTGAAAGGATATGACGAGTTCTTATTTTCCAAGTAATTTTTTATTCTCACGAGCATGCATTCCATCAAACAGGCTGGACCCAGTAACTTTTACTGTAACAAGACACCACGTGCTGCCAGTGACAACAATAACACTCGAGTTCTCGTAAAATTGGCACTAAATAACTTTACTTCTGCCAAATGTTCAGAGTAATTGTAATAGATAGTGGTGTTTAGACCCTCCAATAACACAACGTGTTTGAGCTCAAGTTGGAAAAAAGTATTCACACACCCTGATAAAAAATACAATTTTCGCATAGTATGTATTGTTAGTAATCAAGAGTTAGGCGTGTTAAGTGATGACATCGAGCACCAGAGTTTACTAGGCCCTAGGAATATGTTTTAATCAACTCGATTTTTAAAAACACACATGAGCTTTTTATTATCTAGTTATGATGATGTGATCTGCATTGTTTTCCTTATTTGTTGGCAAAAAACATTTCTCGTAAATTCATAACAGCCTTTCGTGTACAAATGGTTATTGAACAATTCTGGAAAATGTTAGTGGTACAGGAAACATTATTTGCTCACCACTGCCGGCCCAGCTCAGATGGGTCACGATGACCTGCTTGCTTGCAAGTTCAAGGTCTACTCAATTTAAGCTCACATCTATGTCTTTGTTTCCATGTCCTAATGAGAGTTGAGACCTAATGTCCCAGGCTTAATGTTGATTCCCACAAGCAAAGGCAATCTTACTTTGACATCTCGACTCACCTGGCATGGCCAAGTATTACACTTTTTTTCACCTAAAAATACTTTGAGTTGGCAATTGTTTGTAAATGCAAAATGCCCCCACAGCAAGAACACACACTTCTGCACAGTCTCATTAACTCCAACTTTTGGCTTTAGATTATATCATTTGCACAGATTGGTTTAATCAGCAGGTGTAATTCTGTATTTATAGTACTGTATCCAATTGTCAAAGGGACAATCAAGAAAAATATATATAAGAATCAGAAACAGTAATATTCATAAGTTAAAATTTCGGATTGATGACAATTATTCAAGTGTTTCTATATATTATCTCATACCATTTTTAATTATATACATTTTATTTAGTAAGGAAATGAGACGGCTGTTGATCCAGGGGGAAAGTAAATCTGTATCTTTCAGTGTGGATTGAAGGTTCAGTGTTTGATAGTGTACAGCTGTAATATTTAAACAGGGTGAAAGCCATGGGATTATGAAGTCAACGGACGGTGTCATGGCCAGTATCTTTCCATGCGTCTCTCTCTCTCTGTGTCTCTCTCCTCATCTTTCTCCCCCTATCTCTCACGTCCATTTTTCTCTTGCTCTCTCTCTCTGCACGTCTCCCCCCTCCTCAATTCTCTTCTCGTTGCGTGTGTAAGTTCCCAGTGTGTGTGCTTTGCTTATCTGCATTTATGTGCACATGTATACGTGTGCCTGGGTATATGGCTATAGATGAATACATTTATCAATCTATCCATCTTACAGAAAAAAGTATTTGAATAGGTGGTTGCAAAAATGTTTGCTTCTAAAAAGGGGGTCGTGGCCCTGAAAGGTTTTGAGAAACACTAATCTATAGAAATGTTGGGCTGTCAAAATATGCATACCTATCCCCAACACAAGGCATTTCTCTGGAAGCACTAATGCTAACCACAAACCATTAAGCCACCCATCATCTCCACCTCAAGTAACATAATTATCATTTCGGTAAGCCGAAACAAAGTTTTGAATTTCCTTTAATTAACCCTTAGGTGGAGCTATACTCAAAGTAAACTCATATTGGTGCGCGTAAGTTATTGCATATCGGTTTTATTTTAGCTAGGGATACAGACAACCATTTCTCTGAGTGACCTGGTGACGCTGCATGTGATATTCTTCATGATATCTAATATCTGATAAAGTCTCTTTAGACCCAACTAGACGCATAACAACATAAAACCAAATATATATTATTGTGTTGAAGTATAAAGTACAGCTTAAAATGTACATTTTACGTGAGAAATACAATTATTTGCACTGGCAATTAATTTGTTTAATTTCATCTAGAGCTGAGCGATTTCATAATTTATAGCTGGGAACTGCAATTTCATTATGAAGATTCAATATCATTCTTAACGGGAACAAGGAATAATTGAATTGTGTGGGCGACCTGTTTGGAGCTTCGCGTATTCGCGTTTTCAGGTGAGTAGTAAGGGGCCGTCCATAAATGACGTCACGCAATTTTTGACGATGTTTGCCCCCCCCCCCCACCTCGTCACATGACGTCACAAAAAGTCAGACCCCCCCTCAAATATGCTCTGCCCCTTCCCCCCCCAAATTTTTTTTTTAACATGCTTCAAATCGCTTTAAACTATTGTCATTGTAGTGCGTATTTAATGTGGCGCTGCACTCTGATATTGTAGGAGAAAACATTTATATTAAAACAAGTGTATTTAATTCAGTAGAACGTTTCGATTTAAAGCTTTCGTGACTGCAGTATTTTATTATGTTTTATTTTTATTATTTTATTATTTCCCTTCTACGTGACTTTACCGAAAGAACAAAGAAGATAAGTAGAACGTATTGTCTATATTTATTTAAAATTGCCCATTTTGATGTGGCGTCACATTTCTCACCCCTCCCCCCCCCGTCGTCACACATCGTCACAAATGTCTGACCCTCCCCCCCCCCCCAGGTGCGTGACGTCATTTATGGACGGCCCCTCAGGTAAGTCCCTTGCAAGGACAACCAAATGCAAAACAAATCATCTCCAAAGAAAACTCTTCACGTAAGAGAAAAATTACAGCACTTTTGGCAATCTACTGCTCGTCGAAAGCTTCATCACGATGTGTGAGGCATGGGGCTGTGCTATACAGCTCATCCCACTGGTCAGCGCGTGATGATGTATAAGCCATTTGAAGTACTACAATCAAATGTTTAATTTATATTTAACAAACCGATGCCAAACAATAACTGCTCAATTTGCTTGTTTTGCAAACAATAGTGTGATTGAAATGATATCTGGAGCCACAGATTTATTTAAAATCGTAATACATTTTTGAGGGGATAAGGCAATTAATTATTTTGTTTACAAACTACAGTACAGTCAGTATAATTGCTGTATATCCTTCACAAACGAAGGACATTTACGTAATTTCCCTGGTCAGATCTCCCACAATTGAGAAAACATTAAATCAGCCGTCCAGGCAAAGCCACTGAAATAGAACATACAGTACAATTTGTTTTGTCAAATAAACAATCATATCTTTTTTTTTATGACATTATCTCCCTCCCCCCTCCTTTTCAGATCTTATATTAAGTTTCAGCTCCTGTCAAGAACCGTTTGTGAGTGTCCAGTTTTTTCCGGAGTTTAAGTTTTCAATGCGGATGTGGCAAAGCCAGAGAGTCTAAGGGTCAGTCGACCGTTCGAACTGGCTTCTAGGTTCCTCCTTGTGAGGGCACATTTAGCCGTATCGACAGTTTTATTGCCCACTACCGCGTTATTTGCGTTTTAAGGAGGCAGAACTAAAAAGTGACGCCGTCATTAATGAAACGAGCATGAAAACTGCAGCCTTAGCTCGCTAGCAACATCGACGCTGCTGTGAGCTTAACTAGAAATGGAGGACAGAATGCTCAAAGTAACTAAACACAGCGGAGTGTTGTAGACCTATTTATCCTCACGGTTAAAACATGAATATCAATTACTGTCGTGAATTCACAGTCATGGTGCTTTTAGCGTTATGCTTGAATCGGTGTGTAGAACCCCGTCTGAAAATCTGCAGAGAAAAAGGTGAGTGTTTTAATTGTTAAACACATTTATTGCTACGTTGATGATGATGATGGTATATATCAGAGTAAATACAACACAAGTAATGTCCAGCGTGTACAATTGTTGCATAACATCAGAAAAATACATTGCACACACTTTGCTGGTATATAATTTCAGCTGGTATATCATTATAATCACCCATGATTGATCCACTGCTGGATTAAGGCCATCACATCTATCAGAGTCTCACGATTCAGCAATCCATCTAGCTTGTGATTTCATAATTCCATCTCCACGGCAGACATCCTCACGTGCGTCTTTTTTGTTTCTCTGCCTGTAATGCCATCGTTAGTTTTGACCACCACTGGCCCATCATCCATTCGAGCACATCGCACCTGTTCTGTTGCCTCTCCCCTGGCTACCGGTCAAGTTCTGAGTGGACTATAACATCCTGCTGCTGAACTGCCAGGGTCTTGATGGGTTAGCTCCACAATATTTGCAGGAAACTGAACCATTTATATTCTCCGGCGAGGTCCCTGATATGTTAGGATCACCTTAATTTTTAGTACTTCAAGGTCGAGGTTCCTGGGGTGATCGGGGTGATCTGGGTTTTGCCTGCACTGTCCATCTCCCAGACTATGGAACGTTTTCCCTTTGGTAATCAGACTCACCTCTCTAAATTGACCTTCACCCTAAGTTGTATGTATGTTGAAGGTATATAGCCTTTGCCCTGGTTCTGTTTTATGTTCTGCCTTCCACACATGGCACATTGTGACCTACGGGTGAAATGGACCTTACAAATTCACATTGTTATCATTATTAGTGGCGTGTCCTGCTCAAGCACGATTACTTTTCCTAATAGCCCATGTGATGGTTCTAACTTGTGTGTGTGTTCGCCGATTCTGTGTTCCTCTGCCTGGTTTACAGGTGATTTCTTTTTTTATTTCTAAACAAAATCAATTAGTTGAGCTATCGAATGATGTGTGTTGCATGTCGTTCTATTTTTGTGTGGAAATGTGTTGTGTGTGTGAACAAGCTACTGAGCGGTGTAATGGCCTGCTTCTGCTTAATCCTTCCCTGTGGATCTCTGTGAATGTGCAGACATTGCTGCTTTTAGCTTATTAGTGGAGCATTATACAAAGCGTGGAAAATGTCACTTATCTGATTTACCACCATGCGGCTAACGAAACAAACAACTGATAACAGGAGCTAAGTTCCTATTCCTTTTTTGCAGCTATAAAAAATAAATGTTGTCTTGCATTGTTTTTGTACTGTCATTCAATTTCATGGACTTGGTCAACTGGACTTCAGAGCGATTTGAGTACAGAAAGATCGGCCGTACTATAATGTGTCTAATTCACTTCAGAGTTTAATGTGGAAATGCAAATTGATACATTGGTCATGCCAGACAATGACATCCCGAAAACTAATTTAGACCCATTTGTCAATCGCTATCGTAATTGAAGTCGTTGTAATGATGTATGTATCCAGGAAATCCCTCGAATGAATCTCGACATTTTTTAAGGAGGGTTGTACTCTGAATGTTTGTCCTGTTGATGTTGTTGTTATTGTTGTTTTTTTCAATGGGAGAGGGGGGGGGGTGTGAGTTGGAGAAAGCCTACCTATGAGCGGACAGCATCAAACTTCGGTCAGATAGATCACATAATCACTTGCTTTACTACATTCAAAGGAAACGTTGGTTCACGTAGCAACTGATAATAGTTTTAACGGATACTTTTCTCAGTCTGAACCCAAATTGAAATCGACTCCATTGCATAGATACTCCACAGGCCTGAACTTAACTGCTCACAAACTTGAGCAATGTTGCTTACTTACTGACAGTGGTGGCAATTTTCTCCCGTTCGGGGAGGCTAAAACTCCACCTCAGTCTCCAAATGCTTGTACATGGTAATTATTTGAGTAAATAGAATGCAACAAACGGGGGTTTAATGAATTAGTGTCACCAGACGGCACATGCAGTCCATGCAATTTCCTAGAAGTAGTGGTCTGATGGGTGCTCAGCCGTGGTGCATTATCAATACACTTGCACATGTTACTTAAGACTGGAAAAAGCCAAAGTGGAGTTTGTAGCCTACTCAGTATGGAGCCACGAGTCACACACCACCGACTCAAATTGTCAGTTAACAATTCATGGAAACTATGAGCATTGCAGAGTTCATGAAGCTTGCCTTTCAGCATATTAACCCAGACGTGGAAGACGTCCATGGTGTAACGATGACCACAATGGACTTGCAATCCAGAGGTCGTCAGTTTGTTGTCACTAGTACGGTGTTAGAATGATGGCTTTAATCTAAGTTGGCTTGTGTTTGTTGTTGTTGTTTGACTTGCATCCCACTGGGATTTTTTTCTGGAAGACTTTACAGTTTTTTCCTGGATTTTTCTGTTTGCGCATAGTCATTTTAAGATGTATTCTTGTTCATGTTTTTTGTTTGTTGCGTTTGGAACCCGATTCAAGAGCCGAATGGCTCACAGGGCGATACCTAATACATGAAACTGAAACTGTCTCGGCATGGCAATTGAAGCAGTGCAAGTTTCTGAATTTGCTCCCACCCCGCACCAACTCCACCACCGCCCGCCTCTGTCCACCCAGCGGTGTCAATGCGATCACCACAGTTCGTCAGTTAAACACGTAGGAGGCTTTCGCAATCAATATCATCTATAACAGAGGTTTTTTGGGAGGGTTAGAGCGCGTAAATATATAAATGCGTCGTTAAACCCGCCATCACCCGGCACAGCTTATTAGTAAGGGTTGTCACGGAAACAGAACATGCCACTTCGTTAGTAGTACAGCACACCGATGTGTTGTACAAACCTTACTAAGATATAAATGTGTCGTTAAACCCGCCACCACCCGACACAGCTGATTAGTAAGGTTTGAACATGCCAATTCGTCACTAGTACAGCACACCGATGTGTTGTACAAACCTTACTAAGATATAAATGTGTCGTTAAACCCGATACCACCCGACACAGCTGATTAGTAAGGTTTGAACATGCCAATTCGTCACTAGTACGGTGTTTTACTAGTAACGAATTGACATGTTCTATAATAGGTTTCAGTTTGGTGTTTTATCATCTTAATACCTGTTTTGTTGCCAGAAAAAAGGGGAAAAACCTATTATCATATTTTGGCACTGGCAAAGGAGGTCCCATGATGTTCAGTTTACGTTACAAACCTTACTAATTGGCTGTGTCGGGTGGTGGCGCGTTTAATGACACATTTATATATTTACGCAATCTAACCCAAAAAAACAGTATTATGGACCACAGTTCGTGTATGGATACTCCAACCTATTCCAAGATGTCTGGCTAGCCAGTGTGGAAGAGTAGGCCTTATGCACTCTAGAGCAGTGGTTCTCAATCATTTTTGGCTACTCTACCCCTTGTTGAATTTTGTTTCCACCGAGTACTCCTTTTCCTGACCCAACGTGGTTCTGAGCAATAAATGTATGAATCATGAACATCTAAATTTGAACCAATTATTCATTTTGTGAGGTCTCCTAACTAGCATGTAACTGCAAGCGAATACATGTGTATTATATTCTTGGTTCTTTCAGTAAAGTTACGTAGAAGGTAAATAATAAAATAATAAAAATGTAAAACAATAAAAATTCTCACGACGTTTCGACTGCAACACAAGCAATCATCATCAGGTGTGTTGATAATTTTTATTGTTTTATATTTTTATTCTTTTATTATTTTCCTTCCACTTGACTTTACCGAAACAACCAAGAATATGAATCCCTGCAGTCACGAAAGCTTTAAATACAAATTTTACACGTGCATTGTCAACGATTCAGAGACAGAGTTTATAGGAGGCACCGCCTTCATTAACAACTTCCACGGCCTCATCCACACACTCTCCACAGGAGCTCAGCCCGGCCTGTATACAACACTAGCCGCCCAACACTGACGGCGCTGACTGAGATAGCCAACTGCTCTCCTTCGTAGCGCAATATCTAGCCGAGACGTTTAGCGACGATGGCGACGAGACGACAGTGGCGACGAGACGAATCCACAGCCTCGAGTCCCTCCCACCGCTCTCGGCTTCTTTTATGCTCCCAGCGCGGCCTGGCTCCGCCCTGACCACGCCTGCCTTCTCGAACCCACCAGCAGATTCCAGGTGCCTCCAGACGGGGTCCTCCATGACCCTTGCCCTCGTTCCTCCGCCCTGCCGACACGCACCGTGCTCGCGCCCTCACCGGCGTGTGCGCTGTGTCTGTCCACCACAGTCACCGCTGCTGTCAGTCACCAGCCGGCGCTATTACACTACACGTGACAGGACGCTCCTGCATGCGTGACTTAATTTGGCCACGCTCGCTGGTCACTCCTGGAAACCACATTGTTAAAGATCAATAAGTTTAGAATGGTATTTTTTTTTATATCGTTCAAGGTTACCATATGGATGTAAATGTAATCGTCGTTATTTACATCGATTGGCAGATTCATACGTGACCATTCACCAATGACTCTGACGTATGGTATAACTTCACGCATTCATAAATCACCTCACGTACCCCCTGGGACATTGCCACGTACCCCCATGGTGCCGCATTCCCCCGGTTGAGAACCCACTGCTTTAGAGAGGCCCTCCAGAGCTCCCTCCACAGAATTTATTTCTATGACAACAGTTGCGTGAGCAGGCAAATTTGCGTGGCCGCACCACCTATACCCAGAAGTAGTGCTTCAGTTCTCATCCGTTCATCCTTTCCTTTTTGGCAGGCGAGAGCGATCCCAGTGCGGTGGTTACAGAAGCAGGAACCGAAGTGACTTTGCCCTGCAACGCCTCGAGCGTGCAGAGCGGCGTGCTGTGGAGACTCAATGGCAGCGCCGTGCCTCCAAGCGTGAGCCACACTCTGAACGCAATGGGCTCCATCACTGTTGAGGGCACGGCTCTCTCGGCCAACGGAGTGTACAGCTGTCACAACAATGTCAGTGGGGAACAACTGATGAACGTCACTTTGGAAGTTGGATGTAAGTGACACACTGTGTCTGTGTATAGCTAATAAGTACAGATTGTTATATGTGTGTGGGATATTCATTAGGCATTGGCAAGGAGCATGGTATCCCATCTTTTTTTTGGTACAAAGGCTTCACATTACCTTCTGTTTTTCTGCCACAAGTAAAACTATAATCAAGATTAGAAAAATTCCAGAAATAACCGAGAGCTCCCTCCCATTGTCACAGAAAAACGCCAGCACTCTGTACAAGCAAGTGTCATTAAACTTGCCTTGGTGGCACGCCACTACACCAGCTACACAAATCAATCCTGCGTTTATAAATATCCATCCAAATCATTAACTGGATTTCAGAATTATTTTTGTTTAAATTATCTACCATCAATGCATTGTGACATTAAAGAATATCAACACATGTCCAGGAAATTATTATTGCACAAGCAATTAACATTACAAGCTGACAAGTCAGCAGTTGACATAAACAAAGCATTGCATTTAATATTAGTGAGAGTCTCTATTCAGCATGTTTGCTCCAACTGTGTGTGCATGTTCACCCCTCCCCCACGTACCGCTGCATTACATTTGCTTTTACCAGATCCACCAGAGAGACCCAATGTGAGCTGTAGAGCCATTAACCCACACAAGGTGATTTGCAAGTGGACATCTGGCAGAGAAACGTTTCTTCCCATCAAGTTTACCGTAGTCGTCAAATCAAAGTACGTGGACTTTACATATATACAGTACACGTACAGTCAGGGGCGGTTTCTTCATTAGGGCGATTGGGCGACGCACCACCAATGTCATTCAACCACAGAGTCACGCTAGCCGTCACTGTCAGCCTCTGGATATAGTCCAATCAGCGTCATGCTACGTTCTGTGGAGTACCGCCTCTTTTTGGGCGATTTCCCTCCAGCTGAGAATCGCCCCGAGTGGCCCCATAGACTTACATTCAAAGATGTTTTTTTTCGAACGGGGGCGCTGCAATGCATTCTCTATGGCTTCCGGGAGGGCTCGCCCTAACGTGCTTACGTCATCATACGTGCTTACGTCATCATACGTAAGCACGTTTCATCCAACAATATAATTTGTTGCCAGCTAGTGGAATCTTTATTAAAATAAACTTGAGTGGTTTGTTTTAATAGTGAGTATAGAAACAAACAAGATGTATTGTAAGAGTCACTTTATTTTTCATTAATATTAAAGAAGTGAAGTTGCCTTTACATGCTTAAGCTGTTAATTTATCCATTGCATGGGTGGACCTTATCCTTATCAATCATCCAGACATTTGCCCCCCCTGAGAGATTTTGCAGGAGCCGCCACTGCGTACAGTATATAAGTAGTTATTGGGTATTATTTGTTTAGTCAACTGGCAAATACTTCGTTTCTATTCAGGAATCATATCGTTCTTTGTATCACTTTTGTGCCAACATCAATATTTGGGAAATGTGATGACGCAAGTGGAAAATATTGACACAAATTAATATCCCGAATGTCCTTAGCTGGTGGTTTCAAGAGAATGTAAATACACTTCAAGACGGATGATGTTGCATGTCCAGCCAGAAAACAATAAATCACTAATAAATGAGCAGTAGTGGCTCTGTTCTCATCGAATCAATGGTGCCAATTCATATTTGAATTGCAAATGGAGAATGGGCCAAATTCTCTGCACAAAACAGCTCCCATGCTGTCACTTTTTAGTGAAATAATGGTTAAAACAACTACGGTATTCAGGCCTAAAGATGTTCAGAGTTCAACATTGATATTAGGTACATCATAGTGGAAGTAACTTGTAGATTGGTGCATCATGTGGCAATGTAGACAATGAATTCCCTGTAAATATTCATTTTTCAATAACCTTTTGTTATAAATCAGTTTTTCCCCCCACAAAGTTTAACATGACAGCAAAAGTTGTATCTGATGTTTCGATATGTATGCAGTATAACAGAATATAGTAATATAAACTTTCAGTATATTTCCTAGAAATGTTCCACTATTGTCATCGTAGTCAACCCATGTCACCTGGTTCTGTCCCGTGACCTCCTGCCAGCGGGCCTTCGACACTTCACGTGGCCTTAAAGTGCATACAGCTTGGCACAAGCACTGTGGTTATATCGCCGCCACTTAGTAGCGAATGGTGGAGTATTGGTCTTGTTATGCCGTGTTTGCTTTCAGTGCAGCACTTGTTATTGTGTCTTGCATGAAGAATACTTCGTGTTTCCGTTGGTTGTGCTCGTGGGTATGTTGTGAAATATTGTGAAATGCAGTGGTTGGTGAGAAAATTAACAAAAAAACTGTTTCGTTTGCATTTAAAGATTTTTTTCCTGATAAAATAAATGAATTTCTTCTGTCCAGTTAAGAAATAAGTTTAGGTGAATCAATGTATGTCGTATTTTACTGCAGTGTAATTGTCGTCCAATTAAATAACCTAAGCTTAAAAGTTAATTTTAAATAAATACAGTACATTGCAGCTTGTTGATTACAAATCTCTAGTTTTTTTGTATATATATAAATGAGTATCAGCAGAGTTCTGTTACACATCACTGACGATAAATGCTGAAAGTGTTCAGGTTCTGAATTATTGTCCCATTAGAGTTCACTCCAGGGCCACTCATTAACACAGTGTCCACGGGTGGTGACCTGAACGCTTGCAACAGCCTTTTGCTACGGCAGTTAACAATTGCAAGTCTTTGACATATGGCAGCGCATCACAGCAACATGGCATTCACTGAAGCGTAAACAATAACAGTGCGGTGGTGTATATTAAATTATAATTAAACCTCTTGGCATATATGAGAAGATTTAAATAGAAACAAACTCCCAATTGGAGGCACTGTGGTTATAGCACTTCACTCATAATCCGAAGAAAATAAGTCAGGGAATGACCCATCCCATCATCCCTCCTTGGTCACTAAATTGAGTAAACAGTCATTCTGTGGGTTGGCACCTAGCACAGGACCGACCTGCCTGGAGAAGAAAAGTACAGGACGGTGCAGTCCTCTGTGAGAGTAGGAGACGCTCCTGTGCCATCTTGAAGAGGCAGCAGCGCAAATCTACCAAGGAAGGACGTGTGGCTGCACCTCAGAGCTCTACATCCTCCCTGACCTGTCCAGTGTGCCACAGGGAATTCCGGGCTCGGATTGGCCTCTTCAGCCATCTGCGCACTCATCAAAACCCAACATAATGACAAACGTGCCATGGTCATCATCAACTTTGATGGACGAACAAGAAAAAGGGTTGGCACCACAATAATACCCATCAGCTCTGGGCTGCCAACAGAGTTCAGTTACCACTCTACCCCTCTTTTTACCAGGGACTTTAAATGCAGACGATTGTTAACACACAATGTGATATGCATATCAGGCTGCCACCTGGGTCTGGTTTTCCTAGGATCGTCCTCTCGTTTAAGGCAGCTGCCCTGGGTAACCTGTAAGTCTTCGCAGACATTAAAAGCCCAAGCCTTTTTTTGTCCGTTGCATAGCATTAATAACACTGGTCAACAACAAAAAACATTTTTTTTTGGCCTGGACTTTTGCAGCTGTTTTAGACTAATTTCAGATTTGCTAAATCACATCTCATTTTTACACTATCGGCATACCCCATTTTCATTGATTTTACCCGAAATTAACTCTGTCACTTATGATTGCAAGTTGTTGCGAGTCAGTGACTGCTTTAGTGTTAAAATATGGTGCTGTATTTTTTAGGATAGTGTGTTTATAATATCATTTTATGTAGATATCCACATGTATTTAATATTTTTCTTCCGCAGTTTTTATTGAAAATGCAATATTTGATGTCTCAAAAACCTGATGTGATAGACAAAAACTGATGCCAGATTTGGAATCAGCACCCCAAAATGACCTTAAAACCGTTGGAATACCTTATGCCACAAAAAGTGTGTTGACCAGTGTAATAATCCACTACTCAAGTTAATGCTGTACATTCACTGTAGATCTCCCCTCTATCAGGAACTTGTGAGATACAGTACAGAATTGTTCTTCCTTTGATATATTCAGGTTTTTTGTCACCTCAGTGTTGGGAATTAAATAATTGTGTAACACGAATGACCCCATTGCGGTTATTGCTGGCGATAGGTAGACAAAGACAGAGCAATATGTTTTCTTTTTAAATCCTTTATATTAAGTTCACGTGCTTGCTTGCTTGCGTGCTTGCTTGCTTGCTTAGGACCGTGCAAATCTTTCGGTCGTTTTTTAACCCACTTCCCGTGATCCAATCGAGCTGACATTTTCCACACAGACTCGTTGTGCCAGACAATTATTGTTCGTGAAAAAAAATTCCCAAAATTTTACACTTTTTAGGCAAAAAAAAGATTATTTTACATATATTCAAATAGAACGCATTCATGGCTTTGGCTGGACGTCAGAGTGTAAGAGCCCAGAGCGTAACCCCTCCACAGGCCGTGGCGGAGTAGCGCAGTTGGTAGCGCCCTCGCTTCCCATGCCAAAGGTCGCGGGATCGATCCCCGCGTCCTCCACAGGCGAATATATTTTTAAATCCTTTATATTAAGTTCGCTGCCACGCATATAAAGGATTTATAGTGAAAAACTTTGTTTTTACGGGTTATACTTATTAGAGTATCTGCAGCATAACTTTCCCACGTTATTTAGACTTCTGTATAATAATGTCTTGCTTGGGGGGAATGTTACTCTCGAGCGCGTGAAGCGCATAACCACAAGGCAAAGCAGCTGTGTTCAGGTTGGTCCAGTAGTGCATGAGTAGTGTAGCACAAGTCAGAGACGAGGTAGTTGCAGGAGGAACCTTCTTTATTGACACTCTTTAGGTTCACAGGTTCCTTCCGATGTCGTATAGCCTAGCCTAGATGCAACCCTGACCGTGTTACATTGACGGCGTCGACCGAGACAGCCAACAACTATCCGGACGCGCAATGGTCTAGTGAAGACGACAGCGACGACGAGACGAGTCCACTCACAGAACCCGGCAGCCCGGAGCTCGCGCTCTCCGCTGCTTTTATTCTGCCCGGCGCGGCCTGGCTCCGCCCTGGCTGCGACTCCCTTCTCGAACCCATAGCGGGTTCCAGGTGCTTCCAGATGAGATCTTCCGTGACCCTTGCCCCAGTTCCTCCGCCATGCCGGCACACACACCGTGTTCGACGGCGTTGCGCGAACTGTCCACCGCAGTTGCCACTGCTGGACAGCAGTCGGGGCTTTGTCACTACACATGTTCACTTCGTTAAGTAGAGACGATTTGCAAACAGCATCGACCAAATCCAGGCAACACACTCAAGCAGGAAGGTCACGACTACCGAGTGAGCCAATATTGCAAGTGAAGTGATCTTTGAACAAGAATGTTACGTGCTTTCTCGTTGAACAAAACAAAAACATAGCGAATGATATTCTATGCAGTATTAGATTACTGACTGGATTCCTGCCTGGCTGGCATGCAAGTGCGACGCGCACATCCGCGTGATGACGTCATGTGCATCCCACAGCGTTGGACTGGGTTCGTGCGCACTGACGTCACGCCTCCCCCCCCTCCCCCCATCCCCCACCCAGGTTGAGGGTGACAGGTAGCAGAGGGGGGAAGAGACGTCGAGGAATGGAGAGGGGAGGGGCGGGGAGAGAGAGAGAGAGTACAGCGGCGTGAAAGGGCAAGAAAGAGAGCAAAACGGAAAGAGGAGAGAAAAGGGAAAGCGACAAGGAGGGGGAGGGAGGAATGGGGAGAGGCAAGAGAGATTGAG